GGTTAGTAACTCGGGGGTTAGTCAAATCGATTAGTCTATCGACGCGCGAAGCGAGTACCTGTCTGAACAGCTGCATCACTAAACCACCATTGTCATGCTTTCCTACCCGGGGACATCCGATTGGGCATCCCTAGGGGTCGAAGGGTAAGTAGAAACAATGAGCACGCAGAGAGAGAGAGAGAGAGAGGTCAGACGAAAGTAACCTTCAACAATGTTACAAGACACAGCGCAGTTTGGTTCTCATCGCTAATGTCTCTGGACTCATCTTTGGGGTGACAACTTGGTAATCGTTTAAGCAGGGGATAGGACAAAAAAGCCCTCCCTCCCCCAGTATGAGCTTTTTGGACAAATTAAGAGTTAAGCCCCTGACGTGTGGGCGGCGGGGGGGGGCGATCCGGTGGGTAGAAGTGGTAATTGCCTTAACAGATCTCAACCCCTCCCCCCAAGCACGCGGTGCTAAAGGACCCATTAGTGCTTACTGGGGTGTCAAATGGGCGCCCTGTAGCTTGCACGATGCATGATACAGCAAGAGTGACAGGCAACTGCGTAATGTCCCCTCCCATTTTGCCAATCCCCGCTCGGACTAGATTTACGTGTTATGTTTGAAAAATGCCTTGCGCAACGTTTTAGGTCTACTCACTTTCGCCGACAACCGTATCAGTTCTCCCCCCTCTACAAACTACCCATTCACACCCCGCCTACCTATATTTGTCAGTCGACTGACGGCAGGTGAAAAAGAAATCTCTTTATTTTTTAAAACAAGCTTATACAACAGAATTTATCGAATTCAACAAAATTCGTGACGGTTAGGATAAGTATTCATTCAGGGAATACAAATTACTACTTAAACAGTCTACTATTCCCTATACGCAACCACCTCCTAAATCTGTAGTCTCTGAGAACTCTAGTGTCTACTTATAAGATATTATTCTATAGCGATCTTAACCTGCTTTTGTTTCAATTATCACCCCTTGTTCCGTGCCATCATTGGATATAAACCAAACCCTTCTCCCTCCCACCTTTCCACCGAGAACTTTCGGCGCATTCCTTGTCTATTAGAAACTTTAATTTCGATTTTATCTGAGTCTCTGAAGCTCCGTATAAACCACTTTACTAGTCTCTCTACTGCTTCCCTCTCGATTCAGGTAAAAGGATCCCGGGAGATCTTCGAATTCCACCTAGTGAGGATTCAACTGCCCGCGAGGACAAATTCATCATCAGTAAATCTGGACGCTTGCTGTGCCAAAGGTAGTTGGATGCCACCGGAGGGCTGTGCCTTCCGATGTCGCATCTTTCTGCGCGTGTGCCTATTGGCCAAAAATCACCTGGAACATGATGCCGGCGGAGCAGGCGTAAGCATCGTCAGCACCACTGATGTCAGCAATCCAGTGGTGGCTTTTCCCTGTACGAACGCCTTGGGTGACCTCACAACAGGTCTCGTACTGAAAAATAACCGGCTCCTCAATTCTTCCCTTGATCATCAACTGCAACTGAAGGAACGAAATCAGGTAAGCTGACGGCATTCTGGACGGCAGTCAAGCTGGCATTTTTGTCAGTATGCTTGATGCATTCTTGCCTGAAATTGTCTTAACAAAGGGAGCTGTAAGACAGATCGGGATAAGAGAGAGGTCCATTAATGCTTTGTGAGTGTTTCTCAATGAATGTCAATGTTCCCGATCTAAACCAGCAGGACAATGAGTCTCCGACTCAGCGGCTAGAGCGTTGGACTTCTAGCTAACAAGGTCGCGGGTTCGAACCTCGGGTGTAACACTACTTGGGATTGGCTACGACTAGCTGACGACGGCTAATAGGGCGGAAATGGTCATCCTAATCTCCCATGGGTTTTGTCAGTAATGTCCTTCTGTCTATATCACTAGCCGTCTTACGGTGTGGCTCGAAAGTGAGCCCCAAAGACACCAGGAGTAGCGAATGCATCCTATAACATATCGGCGTGCGCTTATTTGCCACCGTATTCTCCCGATCAAAAACCAGGAATACAGCGAGCCCATGGCGCAGTGGTTACAGTCTTAGACTTCTACCTAAAGAGGTCGCGGGTTTGATTCTAGTGCGATGCATCACCTAGGACACCGGCTAAATATGGCTAATGAGCCAGAAATGGTCATTCAGCTTTTCCATGTCTTTGCCGACAACTTAAATCTAAAGAAGAAGATGCGACCGCTGGAACAAGAGTTTTATTTTGCATACGTTTTGGACTCCATCGGGAATCCTTAATCATAGGTTATGATAGGACAATCTGAGCCATGCGCGGATAAAGGTGAAACATGCACAGACTGCACAGTATTTATAGTTCGTAGCGGTTATCCGCGTGCGTACTATAATTATCCATCAGTCTCCTGTAATCGCCGCTTGGAATTTTAATTGGCGTGGTGGAGCTCGCCAAACTTTTGGACCAATTGAATGTGGCTTCTTCTCTCGTTTGCGTATGCATTAGTTAACAAAATTTCGTGTTAGCTCTCAGTAGCCGATGTGTGGCCGCTGACGGGGCTCAAGAGCGATCTCCAAGGCAGAATGAGACGAGTGGGTTCGGTTGGCAATTAGTGAGTCCTCATTAACAAATATTAATATTAGTATTTTCCAAGGCTACCAAAAACAGTATGATAACTATTTCCATAAAGGAATAATGGCACTGTGGTAGCAAATTTTTAAGTAATTTATTCTCAGTACGCCTCAAACTTATTGAATAAATATTTCTCCAGTAGTTTATAGGGTGATGCTCTGCACAAAAGACTTTACAATACACGTAGTCCTACGAGTCGAAAATTGAGTCAATAACCTGAGTCCTGAAAATTCAAGTAATCGGCCGACAAAAGAATCCGGGATTAGGTTAAAAAATCGATATGTCTAACACATTTTTTTCTGGAAATCCCATCCTATCAATAGGTATCACTGTCAGGTGGTAAGAACACATAAATCACAGATTACCAAACCTGAGCCGGCAATTTGACGTCTAAAATGTTAGCACCTGATTCCGATTCATTTTACCTGAAACAATGATCTGTAGCGGCTCCGATTCAAGGCATATAGACATATTCGTCCTGGCCTTGACGAAGGTCTGCATTAAAGCAGCCAGCTTGCTCCGGCTCTAACCGTTGGTCACTCAAGGCTGGACAGTCGAACCTCGTACGTTTGCTGTACTGCCACTAGATCTCACTGGCGGGGCAGTCAGCTAAAGTACACTCTGAGAAAACAACTTGTCACGCGCCAAAAAGTACAAATGATTTTCCAGCGAGGTTTCACAATCTCAGTAAGAGGTAGAGAGCGATTTTGGCCGTGACTTTTGGTGTTGCTGTACTGTGTGTGTCCCACAGAAGGTGGACAAAGGTACGGCGACGTGCGCCCCTAGTAGCTTTCGTTGATAGTGCATTTGCGCAGCACATGTCGCAGCCTGTATAAGCTCTCACACTTCAGGCCGTGACAACTTGACAGAGTTAAGGAGACGATCAGTGGGATCGCGGGCAGATGTCTGGCGCGGCGGGAACATGTGACCTGGCGTGCCATCACAACTCACTCTTGTTATGAATACTCCTCCCATGGTAGCGACTCTATTGCAGCTCCACTGAAGCCCTGAAGCCCAATACCCAGAGCCATCATACGCGATCGTACAGCGGCTGGATATCGACAATCGATCGATACTCGTTAATGAACGTTCACCGACCACTAACGGAACTCGTCTGTCAATAGACAAGCATCGATGGACTCCAACACTTGGGATTGGGATACCACTAAACTATAGCGACAATAAATGCAGAAATAGTAACGTCACTGTTCTCCGTCTCCACCTGTTCCGCATCCTATACGCTCAGTAGTTAGCCCAGATAACTCAAAAACATTTTTTTTTCAGTTACAAAATATCAATTATGGGGAGTTGTAATATGGGTTGTTTTCCAGTAGAAGTCTAAGATAGTTCCATCCTTCGAGAATGTCTGCAGTTTGATAAGCTAGCAGACCGTGGAAAATGGACTTTATAAAAATACTAGTTCAGTGGTCGCGATTTTTTCAATTAATTTTGGACGGCCTAAGAAGTTGAAATATATTCTATAGAAAACATTCACCTAAATATTGTAGCTTGCCCTCATTTAGTGAAATATTACATTTTCGTAAGAATTTAAACGTGAGGCAGGTGCATGCCTCGAGTTAAACGAATAAAATTATGAGATCTTTAAAGACCGTTATACGTTCATTTTCACGGCATAGTGTGTGCGTATATTTATTAATGCGAAACTTCCCACAGCAACTGCAAACTTTTATGAGCCCTATATATGCTCTCCATAAAAAAAATTATAGAAATTGTAATGCTCAAATCTTCCATACTCTCGTAATCATTAAGTGAGCCCAGTAGTCATTCTGGTAGATTCTAGATGATTGCTTAGGAGACCCTGCCAAGGCAGTCAGCTTCCTGTATCCACGATGGTGGATTCCATATGAGCAGGCTGTTCGGCGGGTAAATCGACCCAAGTGTGATTAAATTCACGGCTCACGGTGAACCTCATAGCTCATTGGTAGAGCGTTGGCTGCGCAAAAGCTTTCCCTGCTGTGTGGGTTCGACTCCCACAGAGGCCGCGACTTTTTCAGAATTGGGTCAACCAAATTATTCAAAGCTGTCAAACCCTGCTATAGAAATATGCAGTGTTCCATAAACAGACGTTAAATGAATTTTAGAGGCCCTAGGCGCAAGAGCAAAATGGGTGCAAAATGATTAGTTAAAGCAAAGTTTTCCAGGTGCAAATTAATATATTGCAAAAACAGCAGGATTTATTGGCTCCATGAAATTTCGGGAGAACTCTTCAGCAGCTTCCTCTCATAAGAGTAATGAATTAGAAAAATACAAAATTGAATTGGTACAGAAAAGTTAAAAAGGTCATTGAGCATAGTCACGAAGGCTAATTAGTAAAGAAGGCGAGTGTAAACATGGTGGAGAGTAAAGCAGAGGAAAAAGGAGTTAAGGCAAAAAGGTTGGCAGGGGCGGTGTAAATCTGGGAGCCATATGTTACCAAGGCAAAGCTAGGTTAACCACATGCTCCAACTGTTTAGATAGGCCAGGTCTTGACTGTTGTATATAGGCTGCCTCTAGGTTACGCTAGGTACGAGGTGTTCGTGCTCGAACACTTTTTCGGAAGGAAGTTTTAGGGTCCACAGAATGGCCAGTATTTAGCAAGTGTTCTGTAATGGAGGAAAGAGGGCTTCGGTTTTCCTGTTTGAATGGCCAACTAGGCAAGTGCGCCTTGAATCTGGTTGCCAATTGCCTTTGCGTTCACCCTATGTACTCGCATCCGCAAGTGCATGTAAATTCATAAACACAATTGGAGGTGGCATGCACTGGTAAGGCATTCTTCGCACGAGGAATTGGTAAGGACTTAGTTGGAAAGCAAACCATGTGCACAGCAGCGTAGTACGTTCATCCAATGACTCTGAGCAGGCGTCTCTTGATGGTATTTAAAATATTGTCACCCTTAAAGGGTAAGAATGCGAATGCAGACTTTTTGGAGCTAACTGTTTCTTCATTTTGGGTCGCAAGTTTTTACTATACTTGTCTATAAACTGAGCTGGTTATCCACGCTTCAGTTAGATATCACAGAGACTGGTTAGTTCAGCATTCAATATATCCATAGAAAAGATTTTTCTAGTCCTCTGGAAAAGAGTACATAACTAGTTGCGTTTCCATTGAGTGGGAACAAAACTTAGGTGATGCAAGTATTGACATTTTAGGTAGTCTTACAGGAAGACCGTCCGTGTAATGGAGCCATCTGTCTGTCTGTCTTACTCTACTAATTAGCTTTCGTGAACATGCCCTACGACCTTTTGACCTTTCTCTACCAGTTCAATTTCGTATTTTTTTTCTCATTCATTACCCATACTATACAGTGGAGTTGACGCAGCTGAAGAGCTCTCCCGAAATTTAATGTATCCAATAAATCCTGCTGTTTTCGCCATCTACAAAATATAACATTGTAAAAGAACGCAGCCTACTCATGAGTGAGCACTGAAAAGGCTATTTGTGTGTGCATTCTCTAAACAAATATACAGGGTGTCCCAAAAGAATGCATACCCATTTTACATTATTGTAAAATTGGTGTTTATTATAATTTTAGCATTTCAAAAATGTAAAAATATTAACAAGTGTCATTTTATTGTTTTTTTCAATGAATGTTCTAAAACTCACGTCTATTTTGCTCATGACACTGCTGAAAACGCGAAGCAATGGAATAGCACACACCACGAAACAATACCCTTGGTATTCGGGTGCATTCATGTTCAATGACTCCTCTCAATTCAGCTACTGTTGCCATAGTCAAAATGCATTAAAAAACAATAAGATGATACTTGTAAATATTGTTTTCATTTTTGGAATAATAAAATTATAATAAAAACCAAGTTTACAATTATTAAAAACGTGTATACATTTTTTTGGGACACCCTGTATTTTAAGTCGTAAGGACATCGAAAATAAGAATGCGAAAAATTGCTAATAATTAAATAGTCAATTCAGCGGAGTGCGGAATTTATAGGCTGTTGGGAAGTTGATTCAAAGCCTGTATCTCAGCTTGACTGAAATATCTCATGATTATGCTGCGCTGTAAACATCACAATACGCCCACCCAAATATTTCCCCACACGCGAAAACATATTACTTAATTTGAGGTTGGCAGTGCATCAAATAGGTCAGCTATAGTACTTGGTCTCTGACTCACCAATCTTGTCATACGCAGCCTATGCTGTGAAACCGCAGTGGAGACTCATACTCTTCCAAAACCGTCGTTAAAATAAGCTGTCACCATTCAGAAAATTCACACCTTTTGTTTAGTCAGAAGCGTTTAGTTCAATCTTACGTCAGTTGACGCCAGTCCACTAATTCACGAGCCCTTTATCCTTCTGTTTTTTAAGGACTTCTTGAAAAATCATTTTGGTCAATTCGAAATGAAAACGAAAAATATTATAATGTATGCAGATAAGTTACAGTTTCTCGAGGAGTACGTAAGCGGCTCTGCCGAAGTGTGGTGTTTGTTTAACTGCGGACATAATACACCTCTTTGACTGGGTCGTTGCTTAAATGCGCATGTGCTATAAACAGGCTTAGATAGGAGGTAATTTTTTGAGTTGCTTTAAATGAAGGCAAGAACTGTGGTTATTTCACTCTGGCTGTCACGCCCTTATCAGCACATCACACCGCCACGTCACCTCAGTTTTCGAGAAGTATACCAGGCTTGTCTCATGGATCATAGTTATGCACCTGGGTATTTGGAGTTGAAACTAGAATAAAAGAAGGAACGTGAAGAAGGGACAATCCCACGAAAAAAGCTAACGCATATTTTAAGATTTTTGTAAACTGATATGTTTCCCGGATTTCTATAGCGTTGGATGATTATGTTGCTTCTGGGATCTGACTGGTGGAAAAGGAAGAAGAGAAGAAAACGTTTGGAGCCGGAGGCAGATGAAGTGTACGAGAAGCAGGACGAAGACTGTGCGTAGGACATGAAGAGAGAAGAGAAAGAGGATGAAGGAAGGGGGGATTATAACAATAGGATATAATAGGAAGATTTTCGAAAAAGGAAAGTTAACTTT